AGCGGCTGTGGCCACGGTCTCCTGGCGCCCCCGGGCCGGGGGGGGTGTGCGGGCCTCCCCGCACCGCCGACTCCTCGCCACTGCAAAGCTGCGCTCACGGGCCCCACGCAGCCTGCGAGGTGGGCGCTGCATTCTCATTTCGCGGGTGAGGAGACAGACTTAGGCACAGAGACGAAGCCACTTGTCCAAGGTCACGCAGCTGGTAAGTGGGAGCGCCCGGCATGGAACCCAGCAGAGCCTGGCTGCGGAGCCCGCGTTCCACCGTCCGTGCTGCCGCCGCCTCCTCCTGCGGGAGCGGGAAGTGGTCGGGAGGGCGCATCGCTGGGGCCCCCTGGGCTCCAGGCTGGGCGCGACCACTAACCTGGTAATGACCTCGGGCTTAACTTAAACCTGTCGCCGTTCTGGGCCTTGGTTTCTCCACCTGTGAAATGAGGTAATGACAGCCCTGCCTACTCCTTACGAGCGTGTAAAGAGCATCAGGGGAACTAATGCATGTAGAATTGCTTTGTAAACAGCGCTGCGCTGAGCACACTTTAGGATCGTGATTGTAGTTTCAAAGGAGTGCAAGGAGGCAGAGGGGCGGGTGGGGAAGCAGACCAGAGCAGTCACACAGGGTGAACTCGTAGGTCTGGGTTGCTCTGACCTCAGACAGACCCTTCGGGATGGGGAGTGAGGGAAGGAGTAGATGACAGGTCTTTCTCCCCTTTGGAGAAAACCTCACCTCCTTTTCTGGGCCGCCCCTTAGGTTCTCCATCACCCAACTCCATGCTTCGAATCCTGCTCTCTGCCCATGCCTCCCCTGCCCGGCTGTCTGGCCTGCTGCTGATCCCGCCAGTACAGCCCTGCTGTTTGGGGCCCAGCAAGTGGGGGAACCGGCCTCTTGGAGGAGGCCCCCAAGCAAGCCCTGTGCAAGGACTGCAGCGGCTTCTGGAACAGGCGAGGAGCCCTGGGGAGCTGCTTCGCTGGCTGGGCCAGAACCCCACCAAGGTGCGCGCCCACCATTACCCTGTGGCGCTTCGTCGTCTGGGCCAGCTCTTGGGGTCTTGGCCGCGGCCCCCTCCTGTGGAGCAGGCCACACTGCAAGACTTGAGTCAGCTCATCATCCGAAACTGTCCCTCCTTTGACATTCACACCATCCATGTGTGTCTGCACCTTGCAGTCTTACTTGGTGAGGAGGGGCTTGAGGAGGGCGTCTGTGGGTGGGTGTTAATGGAAGAATAGAGAAAGGGAATGGTGGAGGACCCAAGATCACGGACAGAGACTCAACGTCTCAGGCTTTTGCCCAGGCGTGGCACAGACAGGCACGCTCGCTGCTGCTCCTCTCTAGTATCTACAGCAGACATCATGAGTCAGACAGCATTTGCTCCAGCCTCGCTAGGGTGCCACCCCAGGTATTCCTTCTCATGTAGTGCCCTAGGAATCCACTACAGTTGGTCACAATTGCACGAGATGAGAGCCTATTTGTCATCTTTGCGTAAGGCTTTCCCCACAGACCATCCTGATACCTCACGTTCACATGATAGTTTGCATTTTTCTAGTGTTTCCACTTAAACTAGCACACCTTCCTGCTCAGGAAATGGAGAGGAAAAAAGGTGGAGAATTCACAACTAACCCCGTGAGTAGAACAGAGCAGCCCAGCTCTGTTACCAGGACTGCCTTTGACCCTCTCCCACTCAGGCTTTCCATCAGATGGGCCCCTGGTGTGTGCCCTGGAACAGGAGCGAAGGTTTCGCCTCCCTCCGAAGCCACCTCCCCCTCTGCAGCCTGTCCTCCGTGGTGGGCAAAGGTTGGAAGCTGCTCTGAGCTGTCCCCGTTTCCTGCGGTATCCACGGCAGCATCTGATCAGCAGCCTGGCAGGTGCTGGAGGGAGTTAAAGCCAAAGGGAGGGGGTCGGGCTGAGGAGAAGGAGACAAGTTGTCTGGGCTAGGTGACATCTAGACAACTGGAGGCCTGTCTGGCCTGATGGTCCAGCATGATAGGCTGTTCTTCACAGAGGCAAGGCCAGAGGAACTGACACCCCACGTGATGGTGCTCCTGGCCCAGCACCTGGCCCGGCACCGGTTGCGAGAGCCCCAGCTTCTAGAAGCCATTGCCCACTTCCTGGTGGCCCAGGAAGCACAGCTCAACAGCAAGGTGGGCTCACCTCCCACCCTCCCACGCTCCTCTGTGAGTCATCCTCGGCAACCTTTGCAGGCCCAGCCCCGGGCCAGCCTGACTGGCCTCTTCCTCCTGCAGCACACACGCCTGCTGCGTTCCAGAGCAGAGGGCTTGCTGGCGCCTTCTCCGTGGCTTGCCCCTCTCCCATGACCAGCGTGTGTGCCTGGAGCTCTGCAGTTTTTCAAAGCACTCTTAGCACTGCCCTAGCTTCACTGATCCCACTCCTCAAAGTCTTCAGGGCCAGATCCCACAGTGATGTCCCCTCTGTTTGTTCAGTGATTAGTCAGTCACGTGTGGCTCAAGACACTGCTTATGCTGTTGAACTTGTGGAGTGTAGGTTGGGGGTACAGGGAGTGTACTGCCTTTGAGGGCAACACTCCCCTAAGGTTCAGACTGTAGTGGACCTTATACTGGAGACCTATTTCGTGCCTGGTAATGAACTGCTCTTCCTCCGCAGGTGGTACAGAAGTTGGTCCTGCCCTTTGGGCGGCTAAACTACCTGCCTCTGGAACAGCAGTTTATGCCCTGCCTTGAGAGGATCTTGGCTCGGGAAGCAGGGGTGGCACCCCTGGCCACAGTCAACATCTTGATGTCACTGTGCCAGCTGCGGTGCCTGCCCTTAAGAGCCCTGCACTTTGTCTTTTCCCCGGGTTTCATCAACCACATCAGTGGTACGCAGACAGGATGGCTGGCTGGGGGCCCCAAGGGCCAGAGGGCAGGGGAGAGCAGGGTAGGGTCTGCAGCCTGGTGTGCCCCAGTCCCTGCCTCCCCACAGGCACCCCTCACTCTCTGATTGTGCGTCGCTACCTCTCCCTGCTCGATACGGCCGTGGAGCTGGAGCTCCCAGGATATCGGGGTCCTCGCCTTCCCCGAAGGCAGCAAGTTCCCATCTTCCCCCAGCCACTCATCACCGACCGTGCCCGCTGCAAGTACAGGTGGATGGGGCCACTTGGGGCAAGGGAGGGGACCAGCCCAGGAGAAACACAGTAGAAAAGCTGGAAGGACTGTGACTGTCCAAACTGATGCACTCTTAGCAGTCAAAAAGCAGGCCCTGAGGCAGCAAAGCGGTTTGCCCAGGGTGGTGCTAGACCCAGGTAGACTGGGATGAGACTCCAGAGCCTTCCCACCATCTGTGTCTTTCCCCTCAGTCACAAGGACATAGTAGCTGAGGGGCTGCGCCAGCTGCTCGGGGAGGAGAAATACCGCCAAGACCTGACTGTGCCTCCAGGCTACTGCACAGGTGAGCTCCGGGTGGGCGGCAGGCCCGGAGCCCAGCCTCAGCTAAGGCCACCGGCCCTTTCTCTCCTCTCCAGACTTCCTGCTATGTGTCAGCAGCTCTGGTGCTGTGCTTCCCGTGAGGACCCAGGACCCCTTCCTACCATACCCACCAAGGTCCTGCCCGCAGGGCCACGCTGCCTCTAACCCCACTACCCGCGACCCTGCCCAAAGGTAAGGGAAGCAGGGTGGGGACGCCTCGGCCACTTTGGCCCAGCATCCTGAGCCACACCTGCTCCCTCTCCAGAGTGGTGCTGATGCTGCGTGAGCGCTGGCATTTCTGCCGCGACGGCAGGGTGCTGCTGGGCTCCCGGGCCCTGAGGGAGCGGCACCTGGGCCTGATGGGCTACCAGCTCCTGCCGGTGAGAGCCGCCCCGCCCCACCCACACGTCTGTCCTCACTCCCGGCCCGCAGCTAACCCGCTGCCCTCTCCCTGCAGCTGCCCTTTGAGGAACTGGAGTCCCAGAGAGGCCTGCCCCAGCTCAAGAGCTACCTGAGGCAGAAGCTCCAGGCCTTGGGCCTCCGCTGGGGGCCTGAAGGGGGGTGAGGGTCCATGGCCCCCCTGTGGGGGGCGGACAATTTGCACTTTGGCTCCCTATGTTTTGGCTTTTCATTAAAGTCCTTTTCCTTCCCCATGGCAAGTCTCATTTCTGCGACAGGGCGCGGGGTTGGGATCCCCATTTCTTTCCATCCATGCCCCCCATACAGAGACAAAAGGCCGGAGATAGGTGGGGCCAAAGCACTTTACTGCATGGGGGGCGGGGGGACTTTAAATTATTCACTTAAATAAAAAACAAGGACGGAGAGGGCGGGGGTAGGGGAGCCCCATCCCACCAAGCCCAAGCCCTGTTCCCTCTGTCCATCAGCCCTTGGCTGTCCCGGCAGGAGGCAGGCGGCGGCTACACGGGCATGGGCATCTCATTGTACTCGTCCACGCCCTCCCGCTCGTCAAACACCGGCTCGGCCTCGTTGGCGTCCAGCTGTGGGAGGGAGGGAGGGCAGGGTGGGCTCCAGCAGCACCGCGGGGAGGGGCCGGGGGGCTGGGGCGGGGGGAGTCCTTACGCATTTCATCTCTCGCTCGGTGAAGATGCGGGTGAGCACCACCATGCGGAGCGGCACCGTGAGGATGAGGATGAAGGGGAAGGCCAGGGAGGCGGCTGTGGACATGACGGCCCACAGCAGGGCCAGGCAGAGCAGCTGCAGGGCCGTGAACAGATGCATCCGGAGGGTCCGAACCTGGGGTGGGCGGAGACCCGGTGAGCCCAGGCTTGCACCCCAGCCTGCCATGTCCACAGGGTGTGAGGGCCCTCATCCCCCTCTGTTATACAGAGCCTGGTCGGTCTGTACAGAGAGACAGTAAAGAGGGCTGGCCAAAGTGGGTAGATGGGAGTGGAGTTGGAGGGTGACCCACGTGGACCAGGATGGGCAGAGGATGGGCCCCTTCCAAGCGGGGCTCACCTTCTTGACATAGGTGACGTCTGGGTGGTGTTTGGGTGGCATGAGCAGCAGGTGCAGCCGCTCATAGAACTGGATCCCATTAAGGGAGGTAACTCCCATGTACAGGAAAATTCCAAAGAGCACGGCCAGGGGGATCTGCCGGAGCAGATCCCCGATAACGATGGAGAGGCCTGGGGGAGAAAGGAGAAACAGTAGGCCCAGGGCTGCCTGGGCCCGGGGTCCTTGCTGGGAAGGGTGGGGGCAAGAGGCAGCATACCCACTAACAGAGCCACCAGCAGCCCTGTCACCCGCTGCTCCTTGACCTCCTGAATCTTGGGCTTGTCCCCAGGTGCCACAGCTTTGCTCATGACTGTCAGCGCGTTGGCGTGAGTGACGGAGCGGACGGTGGCAGCAGCCAACCAGGGCAGGCCAAAGAGGGCACAGATGCCGCCCATGGCCACGATGAGCAGTAGGTCCAGGTGGAAGCCAGAGCCCTTCTGCAGCATACGCTCCTTCTTGGAGATGATCAGCCTGAGAGCAGGGGGAGGAGCTGGCGGGGGCCCAGGAGGCACCACTCAGAACGCCCCAGCCATTCCCTCCTCTTGCTTTTAGAACCTGGTGGTCCCCATCCACTCTGCCAGGCCTAGGATTCCATCCTGGAGCTGAACCTGCGCCCTCAGCCCTTACCCTCTGGGACAGCTCCCAGCAAGCACTGCCAGGCCAGCCTGTCCGTCCCAGCATCGTCAGTGGGACCTTCTGCTGCCTGCAAAATAAACTCCAGCAGCCAGCCTGACATTCGGGGTCCACCGAGGTCCCTGAGCTGCCTCACCCACCGCAACTGTGCTTCCCAAGCTGCGCACCCGCCTGGCCTGCTCTGGCCCTCAGCTGGGAGCACTCACGTGGTGATCTGCGTCTCCATAAAGATGAGGATGAAGACCAGGATGGCGGGCAGCAGGCTGGCCACCATCATCCACACAGGGAAGGGGCTCTTCTCCCCCAGTGGGTTGATGACCCAGCCCCGCTTCTCTGGGGCTGTCACTGAGAACCCACTGGGCACGCTCAGCTTCTGCAGGGCAGAGGCGGTGTGGGGGCAGCTGGTCAACATGGAGGGCAGGCTTGGGTGGGGGATGCAGACAAACTCCCGGCCGCCCCCCACTGCTGTGTGGGCAGCATCTCACCTGGGTGTAGGTGTCCTGGATACTGTAATCCACAAGCACCATGATGAGGATGGCAATGGGCACCCCAAAGTCCCCGATCACCCGCCGGATCTGAGAGGGTAAGCAACATGCTCAGAGGCCTCTGCCCCCTGTACCCCCTTACTTCCTAGTCACCCCCACCCACCCTTCACCCGCCGCCAGCCTTAAGGTCCACGTACCCGGCCAGGGAAGAACCGGCTGTTCTTAAATTTGCGCAGGAAGAAGGCGATGAAGAAGGTGCCGGCCATGAGCACCAGCGACAGCAGGGCTGTGTTGGGCTGGCCCTGGGGCCTGCCCTGCCCAGGCTGCCTGGCCACGCTACTGCTGCCTGGCCCCAGCGTGGCTCCTGCCCCATCCCATGTCGCGTTCTCACCCCCATCTGCCTCGGAGCTATTGGAGACCGAACAGCCATGGAGAGGGTGCTCCTGGAAGATCTGGGGAGAGGAGGGCCACAAAGGACCCTGTCAGCTGGACCCAAGAGATGATTCCTGGGGCTCAGCTGTGTGCTGTGGGGGAGGGGCGGGCCTGCCTTCAAGGAACCTGTCTCCTTGGATTACAAGAAAGGCCCAGGCTGGCCGGTTAGCTCAGCTGGTTAGAGTAGGGTGTCAGTAACAGTAAGGTCCAGGGTTCGATCCTCATACTGGCCAGCTGCCAAAAAAAAGAGAACGGCCCAGAGAACCAGTGGTGGGCACTGGGACATGCATGGGACTGAGAGAGGGCCAAGCAGCTGGTTTAGTCAGGAAGGCCGGGGAGTGTGGCACCAGCCAGGCCTGAGGGGAGGCTCCAGAGGTCTGAAGGAAGAGGACATGAGCACAGAGGACTGGGGGGTGGCCGGTCTCGTGCCTTTCCCACACGTGTCTGATGCCCAGACCCTGTCTGTGTGTGTCACCTCTGGAGCCTTTCCCTTTCTACACTCCTAGATTGTTTGACATCTTGGCAAAAGCATGTGCTATCTTTGTAATTAAAGATATGTGAGTTTGGGCCGGCCCGTGGCTCACTCGGTAGAGTGCGGTGCTGATAACACCAAGGCCGCGGGTTCGGATCCTATATAGGGATGGCTGGTTCGCTCACTGGCTGAGCATGGTGCTGACAACACCAAGCCAAGGGTTGAGATCCCCTTACCGGTCATCTTTTAAAAAAAAAAAAAAAAAAAAGATATGTGAGTTTGTGAAAGATTGATCAGAAGCTCTGGAGAGTATGTCAGTGATAGGGAGGCTGGGGCAGGGGCAAGAGAAAGGATAAGCCCCAGCTCTGGAGGCTCCGTGGACAGCAAGCCCAGGAGCTCCAGACCAGCCTGGCCTCAAATCCACAAAGAACCAAGACACAGGACAGGACTTAACGGCTCCCTCCGGCCCAGCTCTCGGCAGGAATCACCTTAATCAGTTTGTAGAAGGTCTCGTAGATAAAGATGAGCGAGATGAGGAAGGCAAAGATCTCCTGGGTGAAGCGGGAGACGAAGCGGACCAGGAAGCTCCCCTCCAGGGCCACCATGAGCAGGGCCAGGAACACCAGCCAGAAGCCGATCCACACACGGCCCACCAGGTACTCCAGGTGGTTGCTGCTACAGAACTGGGGGGTGGGGCAGGGGCAGTCAGGTCCAGCCCTCTGGGGGTGACTGGGGGAGGTGTCTAGGGAAGAGGAGGGGCAGCTGCAGCTGGGCAGGAAGAGCCCTCACCGAGAAGAAGGCCTCCTCGAAGACCAGCAGGGGCCCTGAGAAGCCGATCACCAGCAGCGGCTGAGCACCCAGCAGGCAGAAGACCACGCCCTGGAGGGCCGTGGACATGATCAGCTCTGACACCCCTATCAGGTCCTGCGTCTTCTCTCCTGGGGGCGCAGGAAGCAGCTCAAGAGCTGGTGGCCAAGGCCCTGTGCAGCCTCCAGCCCCCACCTGAAGCCTTTCCTTACCCAGTAGCCCCCCGAAGGTAATGGCAGGAGACAGGGCGGCGAAGTAGATGAAGATAACAGCAGCCAGGCACTGGGGATCGAGTGCATCGCGGAAGTCACTCAGGTAGTGGGGATAGCGGCGCCGCACGTCACGGATCAGCCCCCCGAAGGGCCTGCCCGTCCGCCGAAGGGGATCGTCTTCAGCTGCACCTGCCACCTCTACCATCTGCAGGAGCGCTGCAACCCAGGCCTCCGTCAGGGTGCCCCCAGGCCTGCCCACCCCCCTCCTCCAGGCAGCCCCATCCTGGCCCTGCGTCTGCACTGGCCCGTACCCTTATCCTGGGCAGACTTGGGCTCCAGCCCAGCCCCTGTGGGCAACAGCCGGCCCTGCTCCTCCCGCTTCTTGAGCATCTGGCGCTGGAAGTGGGCGACGGAACGCAGCAGCTCCTCGCCCTGCACTTCTGAGGGCGGCAGCACCACACTGCAGTCCAGGAAGGCATTGATGGCGGTCAGCAGGTCATCCCGCTCGTCTGCCAGGTACGCTGCCTCGTGGAATTGCTGCCAAAGCAGTACCAGGATTGGGGAGGGCACAAGAAGGGGCCGAGGGCATGCAGCTGGGGCTGGGCAACACTGGCGGTCAGGGGGACTTGTGTGGGGCCGAGGGTGGCCCAGGGTGGGCTCCGGAGAACAGGGCCCAGATGAGGAGGGGAACTGACCTTGTCAGACATGAGGGTAGAGATGGAGCGGCCGATCTCATGGTAGTCCATGTTGGCGCTGCTCGGGCCCAGCAGCAGGAAGAGGAAGCGCACAGGCACGGGCACCTCCAGCACTGCGTCCAGCTCCACGGCCTCCCGCAGCCGCACGAAGGCCATGGTGGGGCGGGAGAGGAACTCCACGCAGCCTAGGGGCATAAGGCCATGTGCACAAGAGCAGGGTGGCAGGACCACCTTCCAGCCCCCAGCCCAGGGGGCAGCACTGAGGCAGGGCCTGGGAGACTCCATGTGGCCCTGCCCTAAGGCCCCACTGCTGAGACCCCCTGCCTCTAAGACTCGCCCCACATACCCACAAGGACCACTGTAGCCTCAGCGTTCTCAGGGATCTTCTCCAACAGCTTCAGC